AAAGGGGGATAACTTTGTAAAAAAAAAAAACATAGGGTTGAAACCAAGCATCCTTGAGTCCATCCAAAAAAAAAAAATTCTAAGTCCTCAAAAACACTCCTTTTTCTTTCATTACAAATAACTCATTAGGTAGTAGCCAAAGGATAAGGCTCATGAGCAAAGGATAAGGCTTAAGTTCTTCATGAAGCACTTGTCCCCATGGATACATCTTTAAACTCAAATCTCTTCTCTAATGCAACAAGCCATTACCCAATTAAACCCCGTAACCTATATGCCATAGACCATGATGAGAAGCGAAAGGGCATCATAGAAGAAGATGGTTTAAGGTCTCTGTGTCATTCTTAAATAAGTAGCATAAGTAGCACCTGTTCACCAAAAATATTTCTCTTTTAATGAAATTATTCAAAGTTAACATAAAACCCTTGTTGCTTCCCATGCCAAAAAAGTCACACTAGGTGAAGCATTGATTTTCCATCAATTTACATGGGAAATCCGCCTCGATTTTTGCATTCTCGGCCAGGTAGAGATAGTAGGATTTTACCAAAAAAGACTCTTTCTAACCGACTTTTTGAAATGGCTCATCCATTCCTTTCACCTTTGTTGTTTGGAGAAACACTAGAAATGAAATGTTTCCAATCACTTCCACCTCTGAAGCATCATTATTTGCTCCAATGGAGAAAGCTTCCACTAATGTTGCTTCTCTATTTGGAGCTAGGGAGAACTTTGATGGACAATGTTGTCCAAGAGTTTCATCTTTGCACCATTTATTCGACCAAAAACTAACGAAGGCCCGAACCAATCTTCCAACTTCCACACCCCTGATAATTCTCTCTGCCCGTGATTATTTTCTTCCACGCACATATGGGTATCTATATCTTTTTGAATAACATTCTTTACTTAAAGTTCCAATTTAGCTTTGCTCACTCTTCCCAGAGACTGTTTCATTGTTTCATGAACGAAGACTGTTCATGTCTGATACAATCTTCCAAGATGAAGAAACATGCTTAAATGAGATGCAAAACGAACACTCATAGACACAATTCATGTCTGATAAAATAAACTCATCCATGCAATGAAAGGTACGTCGACAACATACCGAAAATTTTATGCCTCACTTTCTGTCCCAAGCGAAACGCATATTGTGCATTTTCATATGCAAGGGCTTTTGCAGATGCAGCTAAAGACTCTGTCTCCAGTTCAGAAATTTCATCTCTTAATTTAGCCGCCAAAGCATAATCCTCACTTTCAATAGCATTCTGAAGGTCTGCACTGCAGGGAAATAAGTGGAAAAAGGAAATTCCCCAGCAGACACAAGGAACAGAAAGGGAATCAGAATACATTGCCACCCTCTTTTATGAATTTCAGTCAGTAAAGTGAAAAAAGTAAACACAATCTTCTATAGAATCAACCCATATAATCACTAACCGCAGACGTATGATGCTTATAGCTTTATCTTGAGCTTCACTCTTAGAAGATGATCCTCGTTTAGCTTCTTGCTGCTTGATGATCTCTGCTTCAACCTTTCAAGCAGAACCCTTATAATCATTATGTGATCATTCAGCTTTTCGTAGATCAATTTCAATCATATAAAAACTAGACAATACCATTTTTGGAAGGGAAGAAAGATATAAAAAACTGAAGCAGAAGAACTTAACAACTATTTAGCGTCAGAGATAGTATTAATATGAACCTCGGTAAGCTTGTTTCTCAGTTGTTGAGCAATTTCATACTGTTCTAAATTTAGAGCACACTGCAGTTCATAACACAAGGGAGAAAAGGAAAAGTTTGTGAGCGCAAAATAAATTTGTGAAATATCTCAAAAGCATCCACTTTGCGTCACCTGTACTCGAGTGGCCAGGTCCAGCTGGAAGAAGAAAATCAATATATCCTCATTAGCACTCTCACTACGCTCTGAACTTGCACACAAACGCTCCTCACCTCCTTTAAACAGCCATCCAGCTTCAACCCTCAAATTTCTTCCTCTTAATAAATTGGGATGACCTCTTACAGAAAAACATTGGTGCGAGAAACATTGACCATCAAACCCAGAAAGTATATGCGTTTTCTTCTTCAGTTTGAAATGCCTCCTCCACGAAGACCCATGAGCCCCGCTGCCATCTCCGGAGATCGTTACCGCGCTTAATGACAGACTTTGCGCCATTTTTGCCAGGCAAAAGTTTTTCACTTACACTACAAATTATTCTCCTCCTTCTTCCTTCCTATTCAGCAATCTGTACATCAACTATATGAGAAAATACACCTAAAGAGCTTTTCCATCGACTAACAAAGATTCCAACCTTGAAATAACACAAAAACCTGCCAAGCATCTAATAGTTACAATGAAAAGAGACGAACGAAACTATCTATGTCGGTTAAGTTCATCGGAGTACTCACCGGGAAGAAGAGAATATCTGGTCTAAAAAATTAAGAGTGTTTTTCTGTTATTATAAGGGTGAGACGGGAGGAGATGAGACTTCCCCTTATGAGTTGGGTGGTGTAATCACATGCAATGCACTTTGTATCGTAGTCGGCTTTTTGCCACGTGGAATCCTTTTATTGGAGCTACGGTTTCTGGGCTTTGACCTGAAAAGGCCTGGCCCACCTTACGACGAGGCTTTTATTGGATCTTCCCTTAACCTCGGAGCTAACAAAAACATATTTTTTTTCATTTCCTATTTTTATTTATATTCATATATATATATATATATATATATATATATGTATGTGCATCTTTTGATCCTATATATTGATATTATATAGAAACAGATTTGTTTTATTTACATTTTAAAATCACAATATAAAAAAAGTTGATTTTTTTGTAATTTATTAAGATACTCACTCTATTATATTTAAACATTACTGTTTTTCTCATTTCCTCCCACCTCTTTTTTTTTTTTTTTTTTTCTCTTGCTAAATGCAGAGAGGAACTGGGATTGGAAGAAGTTTGGAGACAAATTGGAGAAAAGGAATCAGTTTCTTCTATTCAAAATTTGAGGTTTTTATGATGTTCGAATGCAATTGGAGAATTTCAGGGAGAGGGAGCTAGGATTTCTGAGCAAGAGATTTAGGAAACAAAGGTGGGAAAAGATTTTGATTATGGGAATAAATACTTTAGACTTAGGTTCAAGAAATTGAGGATTGTAACTGACATATATTATTAACATGCAGATAGTATGATATTGATGACAGTAGTAATATTGATTGTAAACTTGATATGAAGTTTGAATTTCTAATTATGAGAAATATGTTAACCGTAAATGTAATATTAGAAATAAACCGATTTTCTATCACTTTTTAATTTGAATTAGCAAAAAAAAAAAAAAAAAGTATACTTACATAATATAGATTTCAAATATTCATGATCTGTATGTAAATAAATTGAGTTATTTATCTTTTAGTCAATTAGTGAATTTTCTCTTAATAAATTTTGAAAAAATATTTTATTAAAATTATTTTTATTGTTGCTTCGACTAATATTTCCAAAAAAAAAGGGATTCCACTCTAATATTTTTGAATGAGTTAAATACATGCATTAAGATACAAAAACTTTTCATCCATAATAATGGAAGCACTTCTTTGCTCTTTCATATATTAAGGGATTTAATTTGGAAAAAAAAAAATTCGATATTAATGGATTCAAGTTCATAACTATGATTCCAATACACAAAATCTTATAACACTTATCTATAAAACTCTCTCGATTAGAATTATATAGAAAAAATTAATTATAAATATTTATATAATCAGATATTTTTTTTTTGTATATAAATTTGAGATTTATTCTATCTCAAACTGATTTAGAATCATAAGTCAAGTAATAATATCTGAAATATCTTGAAATACCTTGAAATACATTAATAATTCAAAATGCATCCATTTTTTAAAATTGGTACAAGTCAAGAAACACTTCTTTTTATAATATTTTATAAAATTAAAGATTCAATTATATGAATACATAAAACATAATTTCCAATCATAGCAGGATAAGATAATTTAAAATGAGTACGTATATTTCTATATATTTGATATTATAAATATATATCTAAAATTCTATAAAAAATTATATGTATAATTTGAAGAAAATTTTTTTATATCTTTTGAGATTCATAGTACAATATAAAAAAAAATTATTTTAATCTTTATTAAAAAAAAAAATTAATCTTTGAACCTCTTATATCATATCATATTATATTTTGTTATCATTAATTATATTTTTTTTGCCACATTTAACTATCATCGTAACCGTCTTTTTTACCACATGTAACAATATTATGATCATTTGTTACTACTATCAATTAGTACTATCTCTGATATTTATTTGTTACTTCTCTTAATATCTTAACTATCATTTGTTACTATTATTCACTAAAATTTACCACCGGATGACTACGTAAAAATGGTAACCCTTA